CACCGATGATCTGGTAAGGCCGTTTCTACTTCAGTTTGTTGTTTTGGACAAACATTTATAGACCAAGTTACAACAGAGATGGTGGATGCGATCTGACCGATCATGCTCACTATTCATTCAGATTTTTGCTCTTTGTCTGATTTTACGGAGGTATCTTAAAATATACCTCGTAATTGGAGTTTACACCAAACTGTAACCCAATTACCATAGTTGATTGTCTTTGGATATTTCAATTGATGAGCGATAAACACCTTTATTAAGTTTGGCACCTTTATCCGTACAAGTTGTATGCATTGCTGTTCTTCCAGATTGGGGGCGGTGGGGTAGCCTAGTGGTTAAAGCGTTGGCTCGTCACGTCGAAGACCCGGGTTCGAATCCCCACATGGGTACAATGTGTGAAGCCCATTTCTGGTGGTCCCCGCCGTGATGTTGCTGGAATATTGCTAAAAGCGGCGTAAAACCAAACTCAGTCAGTCAGTCTTCCAGATTGTAAGTGCAAACCAATACAATATTAAGTACTGATTTGGGCATATAAAGGATATAGTCACGCTACCAGAACGGGGCAGATGTATCTCTATTGTTTACATTACTCCGGATGACAGGTGGAAAAGTTTACATGAGGACTATATATTACCCTGATTGAGAGAAGGACAGTTGGGCATTTAGGGTCAATATTCCCCTCGATGTCAGACAGACAAGTGTACACGTAGGGTCTATATTACCCTGGATGTCAGAGAGACAGCTGTACAAGTTGGGTTTAAATTATCCTGGATGTCAGACAGACAGGTGTACATCTAGGGTCTATGTTAGCCTGGATGACAAAGGGACAGATCTTTTTGTAGAGTTTATATTACCCTGGATGTCAGACAGACAGGTGTACATGTAGGGTCTATATTACCCTGGATGTCAGACAGACAGCTGTATATGTAGAGTCTATTTTACCCTGAATATCAGACAGACAGGTGTACATGTAGGGTCTATATTACCCTGGATGACAAAGGGACAGATGTTTATGTAGAGTTTATATTACCCTGGATGTCAGACAGACAGGTGTACATGTAGGGTCTATATTACCCTGGATGACAAAGGGACATATGTACAAGTAGAGTTTATATTACCCTGGATCTCAGACAGACAGGTGTACATGTAAGGTCTATATTACCCTGGATGACAAAGGGACATTTGTATATGTAGAGTTTATACTACCCTGGATGTCAGACAGACAGGTGTACATGTAGAGTCTATTTTACCCTGGATGTCAGAGAGACAGGTGTACATGTAGGGTCTATATTACCCTGGATGACAAAGGGACATTTGTATATGTAGAGTTTATATTACCCTGGATGTCAGACAGACAGCTGTACATGTAGAGTCAATTTTACCCTGGATGTCAGAGAGACAGGTGTGTACATGTAGGGTCTATATTACACTGGATGACAAAGGACATTTGTAAATGAAGAGTTTATATTACCCTGAATATCAGACAGACAGGTGTACATGTAGGGTCTATATTACCTTGGATGACAAAGGGACAGATGTTTATGTAGAGTTTATATTACCCTGGATGTCATACAGACAGCTGTACAAGTATGGCCTATATTACCCTGGATGACAAAGGGACATTTGTATATGTAGGGTTTATATTACCCTGGATGTCAGACAGACAGCTGTACATGTAGGATCTATATTACCCTGTATGACAAAGGGACATTTGTGCATGTAGAGTTTATATTACCCTGGATGTCAGACAGACAGCTGTACATGTAGAGTCTATTTTACCCTGAATGTCAGACAGACAGGTGTACATGTAGGGTCTATATTACCCTGGATGACAAAGGGACAGATGTTTATGTAGAGTTTATATTACCCTGGATGTCAGACAGACAGGTGTACATGTAGGGTCTATATTACCCTGGATGACAAAGGGACATATGTACAAGTAGAGTTTATATTACCCTGGATCTCAGACAGACAGGTGTACATGTAAGGTCTATATTACCCTGGATGACAAAGGGACATTTGTATATGTAGAGTTTATACTACCCTGGATGTCAGACAGACAGGTGTACATGTAGAGTCTATTTTACCCTGGATGTCAGAGAGACAGGTGTACATGTAGGGTCTATATTACCCTGGATGACAAAGGGACATTTGTATATGTAGAGTTTATATTACCCTGGATGTCAGACAGACAGCTGTACATGTAGAGTCAATTTTACCCTGGATGTCAGAGAGACAGGTGTACATGTAGGGTCTATATTACACTGGATGACAAAGGGACATTTGTAAATGAAGAGTTTATATTACCCTGAATATCAGACAGACAGGTGTACATGTAGGGTCTATATTACCTTGGATGACAAAGGGACAGATGTTTATGTAGAGTTTATATTACCCTGGATGTCATACAGACAGCTGTACAAGTATGGCCTATATTACCCTGGATGACAAAGGGACATTTGTATATGTAGGGTTTATATTACCCTGGATGTCAGACAGACAGCTGTACATGTAGGATCTATATTACCCTGGATGACAAAGGGACATTTGTGCATGTAGAGTTTATATTACCCTGGATGTCAGACAGACAGCTGTACATGTAGAGTCTATTTTACCCTGAATGTCAGACAGACAGGTGTACATGTAGGGTCTATATTACCCTGGATGACAAAGGGACGGGTGTACATGTTGGGTTTATATTACCTTGCATGTCAGACAGACAGGTGTACATGTAGGGTCTATATTACCCTGGACGACAAAGGGACATTTGCATATGTAGAGTTTATACTACCCTGGATGTCAGACAGACAGGTGTACATGTAGGGTCTATATTTCCCTGGATGACAAAGGGATTTTTGTATATGTAGAGTTTATATTACCCTCGATGTCAGACAGACAGCTGTACATGTAGAGTCTATTTTACCCTCGATTTCAGACAGACAGCTGCACATGTAGAGTCTATTTTACCCTGAATGTCAGACAGACAGGTGTACATGTGGGGCCTATATTACCTTTGATGATAAACGGACAGATGTTTATGTAGAATTTATGTTCCCCTGGATGTCAGACAGACAGGTGTACATGTAGGGTCTATATTACACTGGATGACAAAGGGACGTTTGTACCTGTAGAGTTCATATTACCCTGGATGTCAGACAGACAGCTGTACATGTAGGGTCTATATTACCCTGGATGACAAAGGGACATTTGTATATGCAGAGTTTATATTACTCTAGATGTCACACAGACAGGTGTACCCGTAGGGTCTATATAACCCTGGATTACAATGGGACAGATGTATATGTAGAGTTAATATTACACTGGATGTCAGGGAGACAGCTGTACAAGTAGGGTCTATATTACACTTGACGACAAAGGGACATTTGTATATGTAGGGTTTATATTACCCTGGATGTCAGACAGACAGGTGTAGATGTAGGTTCTATATTAACCTGAATGTCAAACAGACAGGTGTACATGTAGGGTCTATATTACCTTGGATGACAACGGGACAGATGTTTATGTAGAATTTATATTACCCTGGATGTCATACAGACAGCTGTGCAAGTAGGGTCTATATTACACATGATGACAAAGGGACATTTGTATATGTAGGGTTTATATTACCCTGGATGTCAGGCAGACATGTGTACATGTAGGGTCTATATTACCCTGGATGACAAAGGGACGGGTGTACATGTTGGGTTTATATTACCTTGCATGTCAGACAGACAGGTGTACATGTAGGGTCTATATTTCCAGGGATGACAAAGGGATTTTTGTATATGTAGAGTTTATATCACCCTCGATGTCAGACGGACAGGTGTACATTTAGGGTCGATATTACCCTGGATTACAAAGGAAATTTTGTATATGTAGAGTTTATATTACCCTCGATGTCAGACAGACAGCTGTACATGTAGAGTCTATTTTACCCTGAATGTCAGACAGACAGGTGTACATGTATGGTCTATATTACCTTTGATGATAAACGGACAGATGTTTATGTAGAATATATGTTCCCCTGGATGTCATACAGACAGGTGTACATGTATGGTCTATATTACCCTGGATGACAAAGGGACATTTGTACAAGTAGAGTTTATATTACCCTGGATGTCAAACAGACAGCTGTACAAGTAGGGTCTATATTACACTGGATGACAAAGGGACATTTGTATATGTACGGTTTATATTACCCTGGATGTCAGACAGACAGGTATACATGTAGGGTCTATATTACTCTGTATGACAAAGGGACACTTGTGCATGTAGAGTTTATATTACCCTCGATGTCAGACAGACAGCTGTACATGTAGAGTCTATTTTACCCTGGATTTCAGACAGACAGCTGCACATGTAGAGTCTATTTTACCCTGAATGTCAGACAGACAGGTTTACATGTAGGGTCTATTTTACCTTTGATGATAAACGGACAGATGTTTATGTAGAATTTATGTTCCCCTGGATGTCAGACAGACAGGTGTACCTGTAGAGTTTATATTACCCTGGATGTCAGACAGACAGCTGTACATGTAGGATCTATATTACCCTGGATGACAAAGGGACATTTGTATATGCAGAATTTATATTACTCTGGATGTCAGACTTACAGGTGTACACGTAGGGTCTATATTATCCTGGATTACAATGCGACAGATGTATATGTAGAGTTTATATTACACTGGATGTCAGGGAGACAGATGTACATGTAGGGTCTATATTACCTTTGATGACAAACGGACAGATGTTTATGTAGAATTTATGTTCCCCTGGATGTCAGACAGACAGGTGTACATGTAGGGTCTATATTACACTGGATGACAAAGGGACATTTGTATATGTACGGTTTATATTACCCTGGATGTCAGACAGACGGGTATACATGTAGGGTCTATATTACCCTGTATGACAAAGGGACATTTGTGCATGTAGAGTTTATATTACCCTTGATGTCAGACAGACAGCTGTACATGTAGAGTCTATTTTACCCTGAATGTCAGACAGACAGGTGTACATGTAGGGACTATATTACCCTGGATGACAAAGGGACGGGTGTACATGTTGGGTTTATATTACCTTGGATGTCAGACAGACAGGTGTACATGTAGAGACTATATTACCCTGGATGACAAAAGGACGGGTGTACATGTTGGGTTTATATTACCTTGGATGTCAGACAGACAGGTGTACATGTAGGGTCTATATTACCCTGTATGACAATGGGACATTTGTGCATGTAGAGTTTATATTACTCTGGATGTCAGACAGACAGCTGTACATGTAGGGTCTATATTACACTGGATGACAAAAGGACGTTTGTACATGTAGAGTTTATATTACCCTGGATGTCAGGCAGACAGCTGTACATGTAGGGTCTATATTACCCTGGATGACAAAGGGACATTTGAATATGCAGAATTTATATTACTCTGGATGTCAGACAGACAGGTGTACACGTAGGGTCTATATTATCCTGGATTACAATGCGACAGATGTTTATGTAGAATTTATGTTCCCCTGGATGTCAGACAGACAGGTGTACATGTAGGGTCTATATTACACTGGATGACAAAGGGACATTTGTATATGTACGGTTTATATTACCCTGGATGTCAGACAGACAGGTATACATGCATGGTCTATATTACCCTGTATGACAAAGGGACATTTGTGCATGTAGAGTTTATGTTACCCGGATGTCAGACTGACAGCTGTACATGTAGAGTCTATTTTACCCTGAATGTCAGACAGACAGGTGTACATGTAGGGACTATATTACCCTGGATGACAAAGGGACGGGTGTACATGTTGGGTTTATATTACCTTGGATGTCAGACAGACAGGTGTACATGTAGGGTCTATATTACCCTGTATGACAAAGGGACATTTGTGCATGTAGAGTTTATATTACCCTGGATGTCAGACAGACTGCTGTACATGTAGAGTCTATTTTACCCTGAATGTCAGACAGACAGGTGTACATGTAGGGACTATATTACCCTGGATGACAAAGGGACGGGTGTACATGTTGGGTTTATATTACCTTGGATGTCAGACAGACAGGTGTACATGTAGAGTCTATATTTACCTGAATGTCAGACAGACAGGTGAACATGTAGGGTCTATATTACCCTGGGTGACAAAGGGAGAGATGTTTACATAGAGTTTATAGTACCCTGGATGTCAGACAGACAGGTGTACATGTAGGGTCTATAATACCCTAGATGACAAAGGGTCATTTGCACATGTAGAGTTTATATTACCCTGGATGTCAGACAGACAGGTGTAGATGTTGGGTCTATATTACCCTGGATGACAAAGGGATTTTTGTATATGTAGAGGTTATAATACCTTGGATTTCAGACAGACAGCTGTACATGTAGGGTCTATTTTACCCTGAATGTCAGACAGATAGGTGTACATGTAGGGTCTATATTACCTTTGATGACAAGGGGAAAGATCTTTATGTAGAGTTTATGTTACCCTGGATGTCAGACAGACAGGTGTACATGTAGGGTCTATATTACCCTGAATGAGAAAGGGACATTTGTACATGTAGCATTTATATTACCCTGGATGTCAGACAGACAGCTGTACATGTAGGGTCTATATTACCCTAGATGACTAATGGACATTTGTATATGTAGAGTTTACATTACCCTGGATGTCAGAGAGACAGGTGTATATGCAGGGTCTGTATTACCCTGGATGACACAGGGACATTTGTATATGTAGAGTTTATATTACTCTGGATGTCAGACAGACAGGTGTACACGTAGGGTCTATATTACTCTGGATTACAATGGTACAGATGTATATGTAGTGTTTATATTACACTGGATGTCAGGGTGACAGCTGTACATGTAGGGTCTATATTACCCTGGATGTCAAAGGGACAGATGTTTATGTAGAGTTTATATTACCCTGGATGTCAGACAGACAGTTGTACATATAGGGTCTATTTTACCCTGGATGACATAGGGACATTTGTACATGTAGAGTTATTATTACCCTGATGTCATACTGACAGGTGTACATGTAGTGTCTATATTACCCTGGATGACAAAGGGACATTTGTACATGTAGAGTTTATATTACCCTGGATGTCAGACAGACAGGTGTACATGTAGGGTCTATATTACCCTGGATGACAAAGGTATATTTGTGCATGTAGAGTTTATATTACCCTGGATGTCAGACAGATAGCTGTACATGTAGAGTCTATATTACACTGGATGACAAAGGTACAGATGTTTATGTAGAGTTTATTTTACCCTGGTGTCAGACAGAAAGGTGTACATGTAGGGTCTATATTACCGTGGATGACAAAGGGGCATTTGTACATGTAGACTTTATATTACCCTGGATGTCAGACACACAGCTGTACATGTAGGGTCTATATTACCCTGGGTGACAAAGGGAGAGATGTTTACATAGAGTTTATAATACCCTGGATGTCAGACAGACAGGTGTACATGTAGGGTCTATATTACCCTGGATGACAAAGGGATTTTTGTATATGTAGAGTTTATATTACCCTGGATGTCAGACAGACAGATGTTCATGTAGGGTCTATATTATCTTTGATGACAAAGGGACAGATGTTTATGTACAGTTTATGTTACCCTGGATGTAAGAGAGACAGGTGTACATGTAAGGTCTATATTACCCTGGATGACAAAGGGACATTTGCATATGTAGAGTTTATATTACCCTGGATGTCAAACAGACAGCTGTATATGTAGGGTCTATATTACCCTGGATGACAAAGGGACGGATGTTTATGTAGAGTTTATATTACCCTGGATGTCAGACAGACAGCTGTACATGTAGGGTCTATATTACCCTGGATTACAAAGGGTCATTTGTACATGTAGATTTTATATTACCCTCGATGTCAGACAGACAGGTGTACATGTAGGGTCTATATTACCCTGGATGACAAAGGGATATTTGTATATGTAGAGTTTATATTACCCTGGATGTCAGACAGACAGCTTTACATGTAGAGTGTATTTTACCCTGAATATCAGACAGACAGGTGTACATGTAGGGTCTATATTATTGTGGTGGCGCGTGATCCTGTGCTTATAGCTCAGGTCACAAATCGGTGAAGTTAAGCAGCATCGAGCTGGGAGAGTCCTTGGATGGGTGACCGTGTTTGGCAGCTTGACTCCTGAGAGTTTCTAGGACTTGAGTCCTGCCCCACAACGAAGCACATGTGACACATGTGGTCTCACCTTAGGCAAGGGAGTTTGTTCAAAATTGTCTCTGTTCACCAAGCAGGAAAATGGGTAGCCGGTGGAAAAAAGTCATATGACTATAACCTTCTAGCGCCTAACAGGCAGCTTGGGTTATCCGGGGTAATAATGGCCTTGATTGTTAGCGCTATGAGCATACCTAGTGTGGAGTTTGGCGCTATATAAATGGATTCAATATTATTTATTATATTACCCTGGATGACAAAGGGACATTTGTACAAGTAGAGTTTAAATTACCCTGGATGTCAGACAGACAGGTGTACATGTAGGGTCTATATTACCGTGGATGACAAAGGGACAGATGTTTATGTAGAGTTTATATTACCCTGATGTCAGACAGACAGGTGTACATGTAGGGTCTATATTACCCTGGATTACAAAGGGACATTTGGACAGATGAGCATACGGGTCGTATGTTAGCGAAGTGCACACGGTACACTGTGACAATATGTCTGTGACACTAAATCTCTCTCTCTCTCTCTCTCTCTCTCTCTCTCTCTCTCTCTCTCTCTCTCTCTTTCTCTCTCTCTCTCTCTCTCTCTCTCTCTCTCTCTCTCTCTCTCTCTCTCTCTCTCTCTCTCTCTCTCTCTCTCTCTCTCTCTCTCTCTCTCTCTCTCTCTCTCTCTCTCTCTCTCTCTCTCTCTCTCTCTCTCTCTCTCTCCCTCTCTCAATGTCATTTCCATGAAGTTATACATGTATTCTGTTTAAGGTTGTCGAGTCACCCGAAGAGTTCTCTATTACGATCAGTGCTCCGGGCTATGATGATATCACCATCAAGGGATGCATCAACGAGGACGACAGTAAGTAACATGCCATTTCTCATTTTGAGCATATAGTTTACACCTCTGTAATGAAACACTGAAACAAAGAAGAAGTAAATTAAATGTTATTCTTGCATTTTCACTTTTAATAGAGCATAGTGACAGTCTTATAAATCCATAGTATTACAACATCAACCACATTACCAAAATCACTCTAAATGAAAACGTGAAACTGCATGTGACCTGATCTCCAAAGCTTTATTTCATTACGACCTATCGTAACTATACAGAGTTGTTACATCTTATTGCTTGTACATCCTCATTCCAGGCGCGGTTCTATTCACCGGTACGGTGTTACTTGCGATGCGGGGATCTGTCCGCCAAGCGGTTCGACTTGTGACTGTTCCACCGCTCCAGACAGAACAGGGGACAACTGCGGGATTATTGAACGTAAGTCGTAGCTGGGCTTGGCGTTTCGTAAAAGACATGAGAATATTTTCACCATTTAGTAAGAACATGTAATGGCGTGAAAGATACGAAAGTTATGCCACTGTGTGTTCATTGCAGCTAACATCAATGCTGAAGGCTGTTTTGACAAGGATTGTGGAAGAAACGGACGGTGCGTCTCAGACGGGTCAGTTGGTGTATGTGTATGTGACTCGGGCTATTACAGTGGTGATGAAGGGAAGTGCGAACTCAAGAGAAGTATGTTCATATTTTTCATTAATTTCTCTATTATATGATTATAATATGAAACAAGACACATCACTGTGCCGCCAAGTGCCACGTGTCTTAATACAGAAATGTTACTATGATCTAAAAGAATAGAGCGTATAGCCGTACATTTTGACACATAATAGTTAGGGTGACCTTTCTTCACCCACAAATTCTGTCATCGTTATTTGTTATGTTACTTCAGAATGATAATGATATGCTTCCGCACTCCTGTTTCGAAGAAAGTGTCATATTAAATTAAATTTACATCTCGTGATGATGACCCATGAAGTTCTTCAGCGATCCATGCTTGTAAGAGGCGTCTAACGGGATCGGGTGGTCAGGCTTGCTGATTTGGTTGAGGCATGCCATCGTCCCTCAATTACGTAGATCGTCAGATGATGCTAGTCACTGGATTGTCTGGTCCAGACGCGATTATTTACAGACTGCAGTCACATATATAGAATATTTCTGGGTGAACTGTTAAACAACAAACAATAAAATAAACATATAATTGACCGATTTTGTACCTTAAGTGTATTTTGAAAGAAGATTGATGCGATCATTTTCCAGCATCTGATCCCGTGCCTATTGACAACCATGATCCATCCTGACAGTAAAGCACTAGACATTACTTGGACACATTTTCAAACTCAAACATTTGTTAATATGCTGTTGCCTAATGCCTGTTACTTCGTATGCTGATGACCATATTGCCAATGCCTAGCAACCATCACTTCCTGTAACAACAACAAGATGACGATCTGCATGAACCCCATCAACACGTACAAGCCTCTCATCACTGTCTGGCTACACCTCTGATAGATGCACCGCCGATCTAGTTGGGGATATAACTGACTCTGAAAACAGGATCCCATCGGAAATACAAGGCCAGTGTCTTACTGTCGGCTTCAGTGGCGCGTGTGGGACATACACCGCCACACCACAGGTAACCAGGAACGCTTCTATGTGACCGTTGGCCTCAGTGCAAAGAGCTTTTCCTGAAACCTGCAACTGAAACAGCAGATATGTGACAAGGGTGTTTTCTAAAATACAAAAGTTGAATATTCCATCACAAGGGATACTATTTCAAATCACGATCTATGAAGGATCTTTTAAATAATATAAGTTCTCCTTATTGCATTTTTAAAAGAATTAGATTTGTTAAATGATTTGTAAATAGATAAATATTTTATGATTGGAAGTTTAAATTAGTAACTCAGATTGTTAGTGGCTGTATCCTCAAAGGGGGTTAAAGTACTGTAAAATTATTGTCCTCCTGAGAGGGTACGTAAGGCCCAAAACATTCGAAGTAAATTAAAACTTTCCACGTTTTAATCGTAGAATACGTGTTCTTGTAATGTATGGCTAGATTTGCTAAATTGCTAACGGCTGAAGGGATGGTGTAAATCCAGCTAGGGTCCATGCAGGAAGCAAATGTACTGTAAGTCCCCATGGTCCCTAGTATGGTGATCTACCTTCTGTTGTTGGCACCTATAGCCTGTTTTTATATTGTATTGTCATGTATAGTTAAAATATTTTAGATTTAAGTACTAGTTTTAAATTTATATCTGTGATAATCTAGTTGTTTTACTGTCCTTCGCTGACAGAATTTCATAATTTACCTTTAATTGTTAACATGTTTATAACTTGATTTAGTCACGATATGGCTGAAATACTGCCGATGTGACTTGAAACCTAAACTCACTCACTCTTTGACAAAGCATTTAGATGCATCGTATAATATATTATTAAACACAGAAATAGACACATCAACATCAGCATGAAGCATATCAGTTGCATTGCTTATAGATAATTTAGTTTCCTCACGGGAAAGATTGTTCACATATACATCCACCTTTGACTCATCCCCAACATATTTTTCAGTCCCTGTACAGCTTTCAATGACAAGCATTTGGGTTCCTGCTGAAAAAGTCAGTGGCAAATGTTTAGATTCAGATCTGTTCCCAACTTTAAAGTCTCTTAACAGTTCAGAGGATGCAATTCAATAATCTATTGAACTTGCATCATTGTCACAGAAGAAAGCAAATTTACCAGTTGGAGTAGACACCCGACCGTTCAGGGTGGATATATTTACAGATTGGCACAAATCCAAAAGAGAATTACCAAATTGATTGACATTATTGTCCTCATTAGCTCTCGGTGTTGATAATCCATCATAGAAAATGTCATCTTCATCCACATGTGTGTTTGGTTCAATATAAGCAGGTAGTTGACCAGTCCTTGAGTTGAAGTCACCACATAATATAATTAAGGGGTCCGATTTAAGCTGTTGTAAAATATCCAACAGAGTTTCTTCCAAACCAATCATACCGTTTTTATTAACATTGCCATCGTAAAATGATGCATACCTTGGTGGGATTTATACAAATCCTAATAAAATCTCACTTTCTGTACCAACAAAATGTTTATCAACACTGAAAAACATACCAATATGACATTTATAAATACAAGTAAAATGTTTGACAATATTTCTTTTGATAAATACATGTATACCACCACAATAACGACCCTTGTTGTGAAACATGTTGGCATTCTCTAAAAAACACCTATACTCACTAAAACCAGGGTGGTCAATTTCCTTATCCGCCCACGTCTCCAAAAGGGCGATAACATTGTGTTCCAATAAATAAGAGGTGAAATCAACATCTATCAGTTTTGAGAATCATCCTTCAATGTTCCAAATGAGGTAGTCACATTTAAGTAGTAGTATATAAGCTTTGACCACACCCCTATTTAGTTCCTTTGCTGTTAGCCACTGAAGATCTGAGATTGGGTCTACTTGGACGTCCGTCTGTATCCTGTTGGTCCACGACCACCAGTTTACCATGCTTGTAGTACCCCTTCTTCCCCTCGAGTTTAAGTTGTCGAAGTTCATCACGTTGTCGTCGTATCAAGTCGTGATATATTGTGATATTCTGTGGCGCCAATAGCTTCCGCTGGGAGAAGGTTCTATGTTTGTCGTCCGAGTTCATAAGTTTGATGATTATAGGTCGGTCACGATCTCGTAGACGGTGGCCTACTCTGTGAGCACAAGTGATGTCCCCACTTGTCAGGTAGAGAGAAGGAATCTCATTCAGCACATGAAGGACTTTGTACGACAGTCTGTTGCAGTTTCTGTATCTAGTTCCTCGACTCCATAAATAACCAGATTATCGCGTTTGCTTCTCGCTTACAGATCGTCTACATCTCTGTCAAGCTTCTTGATAGTCTCTGTTTGGGTGTGCACAACATTTTCCAAAGTGTCTATCATAGTTTGGAGTTCCGTCACGTCCAGTCTCATAATTTCATGCTCACCTCTCAAGCGTTTAGCTTCCTGCAACACTTCATCAGAGTCAGACTTTGCTTCGACAACACTCGCTTGGATAGGTTCGGGACATCCCCCAGTTAGGACATAATGGCCCAATCCGGTCATTATCCCCCAAAACGGGGAACAAACGAACCCAGTGTGGGTATAAAAACGATCGTTGAGCTCGCGTGCGGTCTTCCCACAAACTGGCGAATTATGGTATGTGTACATTTTGAAACACGTGTGTGCCCTTGGACACCTAATAGTTGTAAATATACGTGAGGTTGCGGCATTTGGTCGACTGGTCGGAAACAAATATGACCGAAATCGCTATTTTGCCTATATTACCCCTCCTAGACCTTAACAAAGTCAAGTAATAGTAATTTCACTTACCCAACATGTGGAGCAACGTCTTGTCCCCTCGGCCACACCAAAAGCTCTGTCCTGGGCGTCATACCAAAAATATGGTACTTGTTGGTCCCTGTCTGGCGTTCGGCATTAATGGGTACAACAAGGACTGGTCGGCTCGGAGTCAGTATAATGTGTCTGAGTGGGGTATTCATGCTTCACTGCGGCATGGTATCTCAGTGGGCTAGCACTATAAAACCATCTTCAGTCTGGGCTAGTACAAGAAGCCGCACCTACACATACACACGCATGCACGTCGTCATATGAGCGAAATAATCTCAAGCACGACGTTAAACCTAATTTCACCTCACCTCACCTCACCTCACCTCACCTCACCTCACCTCACCTCTAGGTGTCGTGTACCTGCGGGTATCGTGAAGGTCCCAATACGAGCTCGCCATGCACAAACGTCAATCATGATTTCATCAGACTACGCCAGAAGACACAACTTTACTTTCTGTATGATTCTTGATTTAGGTAAAGCGACATTTCAGATAGAAAAGATATATTAACAGACAAAACGATCACAACAAGGACAGACTTGGATTCTAACCAAGGATCATATAAGACTAAGGGATGTAACACGACAAGATAAGTGGCATCCCTTCTTTCATACATAGTCAACGGAATTTGCATCGTCGACATCGTCGACATTACAAACACGGTCTAGGGAATTACATATTCAATTTGAACAAACGTTCCATCATTGAATTAATATACCATAGAAAGCTGCATATATTTTCTGTTAAGAATATAATCCGTTTATGGATAATAATATACATAATTGCACACAATAACATTCATTTAGATGACCATCGTTGATGAACCTGAGAACTATTCAGAAAAGCAATACACACCGCTCAATATGTAATATTTAAAATGCATGTATATTTCTGAAAGATATTTTGACATACATGCATGTATTGCCATGACATACATTAAATGCAAGGGAATGTTAAAGGCATGTGATACTTATCATGTTGATGACGAATACAGTGCACTCTGTACATCCTTTTTGTATCGCCATAATGCATTGTGTCCTCATTCTGTCCAGCAGGATGGGAATGTGTGTTATACAATTCCGTACCGCATCCAGTACAACCCTAACATGATGACGGCCACAGATGAAGTTGTGTACGCTAAATGCTGTGTCAACCAAGCAGGACAAACCATCTCCACAGATGCCATCCTAGCAGACACAGCAACGTGAGTAGAGGAACAGATTTATGGAACACCTGATCATTGACAACATGTTATGCAAACTTAGTCTCGTCGTTATATGACTGAAGTAATTGTATTTGTTTAAATAAACTGGATTATTACGGTGAATTGATTTGCTTTTCCAGGAAATATTTCAACAAAGAGCAAGAAGCCATAAACTTTTGGGTGTGAAGCTGTCCGCCACGCTCAATTATGGCCGCCCTATAGATAGCCCACTTCCTCTGAACGAAATCTACCAACTGTGTTTAGACATAACGGATGATGGTAGGTTTGAAATGTAATCCTCAATCGGCTTAGGGTTTTAGTAACAGCGGATGCCTTACTTGTATTAATACGTATTAGAATTCATTGATAATTCAAGTAATGACTTGACGCTTCTGTAACAGTAATTGAAATTAGATTGCAGTAAATAGTATATTCTACCAGGCAGACGGACGAAATATCACCTCTTTTGGTCAGGTGTTTGGATTTACATCTCTTTTAGGTCCCTTAGGTGTCATTTAAAGGATCCTATCGAGATCAGGAAAGCATGTGAGTCACTTATGTCAAGGTCACAGGAAGGTCTTTCGTAAACATCTCTAAAGGATTTTGTCCGTTTTAATTTTATTTTGTGTTTTGCCGGGTACGCTTAGAGAAAGGTAACATTTACTTTCAAGGTCATACCCTCGCCAAATTTTCAACCCACGACTATGTGGGGCAAACCTTTTTAGGTGATACGGTACCAGAAAGTTATTCTGCTTCCACGATCTAAGTATTTTCTTACGTCCTAATTATAAACTAAATTGTCAAAAAGAATATTCTGAACATGGACTTCAACACAGCATGCGACAAGTATCATTAAACCAGAAGTCGTGGTAACTTACTTCATTGGTTACAACAGGGATAATCTATAACCTTATAAAGTCTCCCTGGTAACAAGAATACAGAGCCCTGTCTAAAAATGGTACTACAGTCGTGCCTCGTTTATCCTCGTTTAAATAACAATGCATACATAAAATCACATCTTGTCAAATAAAGTAGTCAAGTCAATAACACGTGCGAACATACCTGTACATGCATCTGTCTGTCAAATGCTAGGAACCAATCACGAAACAGTTCTGATGTCATTCACGCTTTCGCATTGCTCCTGCACCTGACATAAACATCCCGATTAAAGTCATTATCAAAACAACGGGGACGTCTAGCCTTGCCAATCACAACTCACAATTAACTCAGTGTCACCTTCCTAATTACAGGTAGTTAATCCTCTCATGCTTCAAAGACTGCCGACATCTTTTATGTTAGGGCACGCAAGGACACTCGGTAAAAGACTGACGTGCTCAGCCATCCGTATACAGGTATACGAGAAAAAAATGCACATAATTTAGCGTTTTTTGTATGTGAAAATGACCGTCCGGTTACGGAAACCGGATTTCCGGATAAGTGAGTAATTTTACAACGTTGTGAATTCGTTTTAAGGAAGTTTCGTTCGGAAGCCGAGTTTTCCGGATATCTGAGGTTCGGATAAACGGGACACGACTGTATTTCAGACAGACAGATTTATTTCGTAGAGTGGCCATGAGGCCAAAAGTACAGTGACATTTTTACATCATGTTCTTTGAAGCGCTGGCATGAGAAATACACTGGTATTTAAAAGCATCATTAAACGTTATGGAATTTGTTTACAAATATGGCTAGGTGTAAAATAACATTTGCATTTTGGGTATTAAGTAAATTTACAAACTTCTGTATGTTGGGATTTACACAATAATATTGGGGTATATACCTGATGCGTAAATCAGAACAAACAGGACATTGTAATAGAACATGGTACTCGACCTGGACAATATTGCCGCAGTGGGAACACATGGCAGAACTGATATAATCATCTTTGGATCTTCTATGGTTTAAACATATTTATTTCATGAAAAAGCAAAGACAGAATTTTCATGAACTGGATTGGTCAACAAGCTCGAAAGAACTTATATGAAGACCGCTCCAATATACATAGATATATGAAATAGTATCATGACAAGAAAAGATGATATCTAAAATGCAAGTAGATGGTATGACATCTAGTCGGATCTTCTATAGGTTTGGACATTCAGTTTACCGATGCCTCATCTAAATTTTGTAAGAGATCTGCGGAGTTGCATAGAGGATAATACTTTTAAATATGTTTCATGGACAATGTCATGTTTAAATAATGAATATGTATGCAATATTTGGAGCTTGCAATATCGGATGACCATTCTTGGTAATATATATCTCAACAGCGTTGTTTGAATTGCTTTAGGAACATATTAGGATCTCCGTCTGTTTGGCGGATCCATACATGTGCATGACCGTATTGAAATAACAATGTTCTAACTGAAGAGGTCCAGTTAGTATCTCCATTATCATTTAGATTTTTCATCATATCATAGCAACGTTTAGAATGTTTTGTAGCTGGCTGACTGAGTAGTCGTAACCAGTATGATATAACTCTTGTTTTATATTTGACTCGAAGTGGATATCCACATTCCGCTAAAATAGCTTTATTAGAAGAGCGGTAACCAACTCCTAGGACAAATATGCAAAACTTAGAGTGGACTTTTTCAATGTTGTGACGAATCATTGTTCCCCAAATTTCTGAGCCGTAGAGCAAGATTGGTTGAAAAAATCTTAAGGAATGTATCTGGGGGAAGAGATTTAAATCGACATATAATTGTTTTGATAGGATATAACGCCTTCTCGGCTTGTTTACACAGAACCTCACAATCTCTTGAAAACAGGTTCCGGCATGAAAACACTATTCCGAGAAATTTGTAATAAGAAACAGATTCCAGTCTTTCAGAGCCAATTAACCATTTTTCATTTTTTGAAAGTCCACCACCTTTTTTAAACACAAAATTCTTAGACTTTTCGGTATTAATCGATAGTCCCCATATTTTGCAATATGTTTCAAGAACATCTATTTTCTTCTGCAAGTTTATGATACTATCTCCAAATATGGCGACGTCGTCCGCAAATAATAAGATAGATAATGCATCTACAGTTTCATCATTGAAAGCATCACTATATTCCCTATTCACAATATCGTTTACGAGTTCCTCTATATATAGAATAAATAGAACGGGAGACAGTATACAGCCACCTGTAATGGCGAGGGGTAGACATGTGTAACATTATGGGGATAGAGAACGAACTCTGGAGGGCTCGTATTGGTCTAAATGTACAACCCACTAAGCAGAAATGTCTCAGTGTACATGGAATTAAACTTCGCGGGGTGTTTTGTGCACGACAACTGCACATTTTGATGTGCATAGCTGTCCTGTTACTTATGAGCGGCAACGTGGAGAGCAACCCCGGACCACGCGGGACGAGACAGAGCAGACTAACTCGGTCCTCCACAGGTGTACACGTAGAGTCGTCCGAGCCCGACCAGGTTACAGCTATTCTGCACAGCATACAGGCCGACCTACAGTCTCTACACTGTAAGTATGATAAATTTGAGAAAACTGATATTAAGAAAGATCAAAACGAGATGTGGAAAATTATAGAAAAAACTTGAAGAGGAAAATCTATCCTTATCTAACAAACTGGAAAACCTTGAATCACAATCCCGAAGAGACAATATGATATTCTTTGGAATAGAGGAAAACGCAAATGAAAAATTGGGTCGAAAGTGAAGAAAAAGTTAATGAATTTTTAAAGGAAAAACTCAAATTCAGTGAGAGTGACGCAGCACGTGTGAGTGTGGAGAAAGTGCAGACTACCCACAAGGCACACTCCCCGGCCCATTATAGTTAAGTTTTCCTCATACAAGTGTAGAGAGCAGGTGCTAGATGCAGCGAGGTCGAACCTCAGAGGCAACAGGACGTTCAGGGTGTGCCCTGACTTCACTCAAGCAGTGAGACAGACTCGGAGAATACTGGGTGAGTACTTGAAAGAACACAGACAGAAAGGCGACGAATGTTATATTTCGTACGATAAATTGGTCCTAAATGGCACCGTGTTCAAGTACGACGATACAAGTAAGTGTCTCGTGGAGATGGGGAGGAGATACCAGGCCACCCAGCGAGACGCACCCCAAAACCCTGACCGTCAAGACTCACCCCGCAGACGAAAGACCAGTCGTAGCAGACGACACAGCAACACGAGCCTGTCTCGAGCTGCCGGCCAGCAGCAGGGAGACAGATAGGAAGGTGGTCGAGGCCAGACACATTAACAAGTTACGTATAACCATGATATTTCTAATACTGACTATAATCTAAAATATGAGTATGATGAAGACGAAGTGAATTCTATGAACAGTACATTTATATCATTCCTATCTTGGAACGTAAACGGCCTGTATTCAAAATTACAAACCCTAACCTTTTTAAATAATTTTGACGTTTTTGCTCTTATCGAAACATGGGCCAAAAATACTACCGATTTTGCAAATACTTTTCCAGAGCACACTTGACACCAGTGAGGACTCACTCCTTGGGAGGATACAGCGGCGGTATTGCTGTGTACATCAGGAAGCCTGTATCCACACTGTTCACCCGAATACACAGTGAATGGACAGACTGCGTATTCTCCCTGACCAGCATCCACGCCCAGACTCAAATCTTTGGTTTTGTCTATGTGCAAGACGCAACAACCTTGGCACAGCAGTCACAGGATCGTACAGAAATAGAACTTTTAGAGGAGAAATTAATTTTGCTTCATGTTGAATACCCGGATGCTATATTTACATTCTTTGGTGACTTGAACTCACGTATTGGTCAAGAAAAGTGCTTTATAGAGGACGATAGTGTCGGCTATCTTCCTATTGATAAACAGGATTATGATTCAGATTGTTTCAGTATTCCGAGAATGTCTAGAGACAATGCCTTAAATACCAATGGCAAACAGTTATTAGAGGTGTGTAGATATATGAAAGTACACATTTTTAACGGGGGATCGGGGTCAGATAAACAAGGGGACTTCACATTTATTGGGCGACAAGGTAACAGCGTGGTAGACTATTGTATTGTGCCCACAGACTTATATGATTATTACAAAGATTTTGAAATAATCACAAGAACAGAGTCTGACCACCTCCCGATTACAGTAAGCTTGTTGTGGTCACGTGACCCGCCAGCTGATCCCGCACGTGCAGCACACACCCACACTAAGTCACATGCATTCGACAGGAAGGCGTGGAGACCTGAACAGCTCGGTGAGTTTGCTGATATTATGTGCAGTTCCACTGAACGCCGAAAGTATACACTTCTCGATAGATTCAGAGCGACAGCCGATCCTGTGCATTGTACCGAGTACCTCGATGCAAAACGAGACTTTAAAGAGATATGCAACCGCAAAAAAGCGGCATATAAAAAAGATATTGAAAATGAAATTTTAGATGCAGCAAAGAGCAATATATGTAAAGACTTTTGGAAGGCCATTAAGGAACACAGCGAATCGAAACGTAGTTGTTGTAATGTATCAGCTCTTAACTGGTTTGAATATTTCAGTTCACTGCTCAACCTACATAACGACTATAAATCCCAATTTGATGACGATGTAAAACACTTTATCGATAACCATGATGTTACAAATTGCGACCAGTGTTAAGACTGTGACCATATGTTGTGTGAAATTACGGAGGAAGAAATTAGAAAATCAGTTCATAACTTGAAAAACGGTAAATCCCCTGTGGTAGATGGTATCCCGACGGAAGCTATCAAAGCTACGTGTCTTATATTGTCACCTTTCTATAAACGTCTTTTCAACGACTGTATTTCCAAACCAGACAAGACGTTAGCAGACTTGATGTAATGTAATTGGACCTGAAATGCTTTTCAAAATGTAAACAGGCAAAAAGAATACCCTTGCTATGAAGAGAGGCAAGATATGTTGTGTGGCTTGCTGCTGTATGCAAACATTTCACCAAACTGGACTTGAAACACATAATGGTTTTGACTGATGTCTTATGTAGTAAAGAAATGTCTTGTGTTTTAGGTTTGTTATTTCAAACATGTTGTTGCAAACAGCTAGTTGAAAAAAGGTTCTGCTTCTTTACCATGGTACCAATATTTTAATATTGGGTTGCAAGACCTCACGGCATGTGGCAAGTGGAGTTGACAACAGTATTCAACTGAAACATCATTTAAATGGCTGATTCCTGTGTCTCATTCAATCATAAATCGTTGCAGGCTTCGAATACATAGGCTTGATCCAAATAATCGTCCATAATGGTCTGACTGGTTCATCGTGACTAGAGGCAGTGGTGTATGGGGACAATGGGTAAGAAACCTCAAACGTCTCTCCATAATCACTTAATTCTCTTCTAAAAGCACAGAGCGCGCGACACTGTCTATATCATGGGCATGCTATTGGATCTTCCGACCTGAAAATAATCTGTGACACACACACACACACACACACCCCAAACCAACTGTTCTTCACACTTCACATTTACTTAATCTACTGACCTTGTTACAATCTAATAGATTTATAATTTAAAACTGAAGTCTTGTTCTTGTTGTAATATCTGCATGTTTTAACAGAATGAGTCGTTTCGACGACAATATAACACACGATACAGATTTATATACTATCATCAAAGCATTCGAATAACATTGCATGGAATGTAGACAATGCTCAACAGTGTTCTTTTACAAACAGGAT